AAATTAAATTAATTTATAAATTGATATTTTTAAATATTATAATCTTCTATTTAAAAAGCTATAAATATCAATAAATTTTGATGGTTTTAATAAAAAGTTAAATATCCTTTTTAGTCCTTTTACTATTAAAAAAAGGCCTGATTTTGGTCTTTATACCGAAAAAATCTTCTTTGTGATCCTTACTATTTAAAATTTGACCTTTTTTTGGTCCTTCCATTAAATTTTTGCTTACGTGGTACATTATCTTAACAAGAACATTTGACATGGCTATTATAAAATATAAAAGTGCCTACGTGGACATAATAATACCCCTTCCATGTCACTCTCCTAGCTTGGAAAAAAAGAAGAAGAAAACCTTAAATGATTAGACCCACATTCTAAAATTCTCCATTTTTCTCTAGTTCCCTCCGCTAATATCATCTTCCATCTTTCAAAATTCTTGTTTTTTGTTCATGATCAATCCTTTACATGTGAGATTGATCAGGATATAATTGAGAATTCATAGGATTATTTTCATTGATAAAAATAAAAATTAATTACTAATTAAAATGATTTTTCAATATTGTAAACTCTAACTTCTTTTTTGGAAAAGAGAATGACTTTACTTGTTCACTAATTTCAGATTTTCAACTCTTTCTTCCTATTGAACCTAGGCCACAGATAAACCAAGTTGTGAAGTTGATAGCAACATGAACACAACACCATAAACTTATTATCACCTGTAATTTCAAACCCAAATATCAAACACAAACCTAGAACTTAACGTCTCTAATTCAAAACTGAACATGAACTTTGGTTTATTTAGCTCCTTTTATGGAAGATAGATACATTCAAAATTTGAAAATAAAAAAAGAAAAGAAAAAAAAGAGGGTTGAAAACCCAGAACCTGGGTTCCTTGCAAGGAACCCAAGATGACAAAGAAGATGGCCAAGAGAACGGTGAAGATGATGCCGAGGATGAGAAGGAGGATAAGGATGAGGAGAAAGAAGAAGACGAAGAAATTAAAGGAGGATAAGGATGAGGAGAAAGAAGAAGATGAAGAAATTAAAGTTAATTATGTTTAATTCATTTAATTCATGAATTAATTAAGAAGTAAAATTTTTAATTTATATAGCTGGCATAAAATATTCATACAAAATGCTTACATGGATTTATATTTTATTCACGTAATTTCCATGTCAATTGATTCTATTAATTAACGTGCTATGTGAGCAAAAATTTAACGGATGGACTAAAGATGGATTGAATTTTAAACAGTAAAGACTATAAAAGGGATTTTTTTTGGTGTAGGGATCAAAAGAGACTTTTTTCAATAGTAAAGGGACCAAAAAATATATTTAACCTTAATAAAATAATAAGTACCTATAACAACGTTCATGTGTCGTGTATCTATTTTTATTTATCTAATGTGTACTTAATTAAATTGAATTGAATAGAAGGGCACACTTGCAACTTTAAATTAAGATTTAATAGGGACTAAATCAAGAAAGGAAAACAAAATGGGACCTACATAACATTAAAAACCAATAGGCCACAAACAATCATTGTAAACCTTGCCCCTTATATAATAGTATTATTATTTAGACTACATGGACTTGTAGTCTTGTACCCCTCGTCAATACTCAATAGACCACTTGATAAAAATTTCAAAAACGTAAGTTTTTTTTTTTTTTTGTTAGTAATCTCTCGTTATCTAATAATCACATTGAATCTTAATTAATTTAAAACACATTGAATCTTAATGAATTTGAAATCGAGTCCCATCAAACCCACAAAAAAGAATCTCTTCTAGCACTTATTTTTTCATTTACAAGATTTGAACTCGAGAAGAACAAACATAAGTTATTCGTTCGTTTATTTCTTTGATTAGTTTTTGTTTTTCATTTTTACATATTCTTAACAAACTGCATAGGATGGATCGAAAGGCTTTCTTATTTTTCATATTTTGTAGTTTGAACGGATTGCAGTGATTTACGGGTTTAAGGGTGCGTTTGGGATTGCGGTTGAGAGCTTTTTCATTTAGCCACACAACACTTTTAGATATATGTGTGTTTGGTAATTTTTTTTCAAACTGCTCTTTTAAAAAGTTACAGAAAGCCACAGCAGATTTACAGTAATTTTATGTATAAAACCAAAAATCTCATTTTGAAGTTTTCTAGTTATGGCTTTTATAGAGAATACCTAATATTTTAATATAATTATAAAATTACTCATTAAAACTCAATTTCATATAATTTAATTATATCATAATTTATAGGACAGCGATACGTACACCCATGAACTGGCATCCATTTTTACACCCAAATTGGTTTAAACAGTAAAATTACAAATTTACCCTTCCCACTAAATCTATTTCCCAACAACCAAATCCCAGCAAAATTCAAGCACATTCAACAAAACTCAAGCATTCAAGCACA